GGGAGAAGAGATTCTTTAAGGAAGGCCCTGCTTCCACTGGCATGATAGTGACATGAAACCAGGAGGAAAGACACATTCTGGGGAGACAGAGAGCCCAGGCTTTGAGGCCAACTCTGCTTCCAATTACATAATTCAGGGAAAGGGATTTCACCTCTTTGACCTTGTTCTGCATCTGGAAATGGAGCTAAGAATATCTCCCAGAGTGGTTGGGAGGATCAAAATATAGCCACTGTATAAGAGAGCTATGCCAGCAGTCAGTGTTTCTTAGGAGCTTCAAAAAATGGCAATTCTCACATTTTTTTTTCATTAGAAGAAAGTTTAACTTCTTAAGACCCAATATTTTACAGAGAATAGAAGAAACAAATAGGAATAATACAGTTTCCAAAGTTCTTGCTTAATCTCTGGACTCAAGAGTAATTACCCACAGAGAAACTGAGACCCTCTTCTCCAAGCCTCTTAGCCCTGCACCCAGGCAAGTGCAGCCTGATGGAAATAGTGGGCAATGAGGGTGGGGGTCCCCTACCCAGAGAAGAGCTGGCCCAGCACAGTGCAATAGAAACAGAGTGCGAGTCCCATGTCATTTTAAATCTTCCAGCAGCCCCATCTGGAAAGTAAAAAGAGATGTTGAACATTTCGTCATATATTTGTTGATTGATTGTAGATCCTCTTCTGAGAAGTGTCTGTTCAGGAAATGGGAATCAAAACTGCTCTAAGATTTCATCTCACTACTGTCAGAATGTCAGCTATTATAAAGACAAACAACAATAAGTGTTGGCCAGGATGTGGGGAAAAAGGTACACTCATACATTGCTGGTGGGACTGCAAATTGGTGCAGCCAATATGAAAAGCAATATGGAGATTCCTTGGAAAACTGGGAACAGAACCACCATTTGACCCAGCTATCCCTCTCCTCGGTCTATACCCAAAGGACTTAAAAACAGCATACTATAGGGACACAGCCACATCAAAGTTTATAGCAGCACAATTCACAATAGCTAAACTGTGGAACCAAACTAGATGCTCTTCAGTGGATGAATGGATAAAAAAAATGTGGCATATATACACAATGGAATATTACTCAGCAATAAAAGAGAATGAAATCATGGCATTTGCAGGTAAATGGATAGAGTTAGAGAAGATAATGCTAAGTGAAGTTAGCCAATCCCAAAAAAACAAATGCTGAATATTTTCTCTGATATAAGGTGACTGGCTCATAGTGGGGTACGGAGGGGGAGAACCTCTCAGCCAGGCTGTTAGCTGTGACAATCACCATCCCAATGCCAGATTATGCAGACACCTGGACATGTGGGCTGCTTTCAAGTTAGTCCCCAACAATGTCCTGCTCCCCCCCAGGTCCAGCCTTGTGAGCTGGACATTGGACAGGCTTGAGCAGGCAGGATCCTTCCACATTGTGTCTGAAGAAGGGGTCCACTACTCAAGCCCCTCAGCAGGTGAGTGGCCCTGAGCCCTGAGGTGCCCGCCTCTAGGGAGGTATCCTTTTTTGCCATCAGCCCTGGGAACACATTTGAACTGTGCCAGGACTGGGGCCCAGAATCCCCATGGTTCCCATAACAAATCAGTGGCTAAGGAGGTGCCTGAGCCAGACTTTGCTTCTCACCAGACTGTTTATCACAAGGGAGAAGAATCCAGTGAGAACCAAGGTGAACAGGTATGTGGAAGGAGGCTGCATCCTGGGCTCGAGCTGGTGGAGCTGTTAGCTGCAGGGTGCAATGAAGACATACCATACCCACCAGATAGGCAGGTGGACAAACCCGCTTCTATTTCTGTTAGCTGTGAGGCATTTCAGGACTCTGCAAGCCTCAGTTTCCTCATCTATAAAGAGGTTTGCTTTAGGGGAGAGGAAGGGGATTGAAAGAGAGGGAGGAGGGAAGGACATGGGGAAGAGCAAGGGAATGAAATCTAGCAAATTATGCTATGTCCATGTACAAAAATACCAAAATGAGTCCCACTTACACACACACACACACACACACACACACACATTAAAGTATAATGCACTAATTAAAACAATAATAAAAATGATAAGAGGGAGATCAGTAGAGTAGCTCAAGTGGATTAGGTGGGGAAAGGAATGAAGGGAAAGAGAAGGTACCAGGGAGACTGATAAAATTACATTATGTGACTACTCAAATATGACATGATGATCTCATCATTGTGTATCGTTATCATGCACCTGTAAAAAAGATGGGAGATTAAAATAATAATAATAAACAAGAAGAATCATCAACTGTCACAACACAGGAATAGAGTGAGAATTTAGTGACTAAGGGGGGAAAAAGTGATTTCCTGCAACATAATGAAAATATTGGTTTCCCTAACCTTGTCTTTCCTAGCTCCCTGATAAGCAGCAATTCATGTTGGTAGAAGAAAATGGTTCTAGGATCAAGAGTGTACAGCTGGGCATGGTGGCACATGACTATAATCCCAGTGACTCGGGAGGATGAGGCAGAAGGATCACAAGTTTGAGGCCAGCCTCAGCTACTTAGAGAAGCCCTAAGCAACTTAGTGACACCCTGTCTCAAAATAAAAAACAAAAAGGGTTGGGATGTGGTTCAGTGGTTAAGCACCCTGGGTTCAATCCCTGGTTCTTAAAAAAAAAAAAAAAAAAGCATATCATGTGGAGGTTTATGTATGTCAAGACTCACAACAGTGCAGAACACTGAGTGCTCATTCTGCATGTGCTAGCTAGCATTTTTATTTTATTATTATCAAGCCAGGAAAATGCACCAGGTTCCTGAAGAAGTTTACAGAAATGATTCCTAAAGAAATCTGGGCATTATCAATGACATGTCACCTGACAAGAAGTCACAGACAAACAGGTCCCACGGGTAGAAGAATCAGGAGAGTTATCTCAGGTTATTTGGAGGAATGGGAGCTTCCAATAACCAGAAACAGAAATTAACTGCAGAAACCATTCTGCATGGCCCTCATTACCAACACTTGAACATATCTAATTAATACAGATGCAAAGCAGATTAAATTTGCTGTAAAATTAAGTTATTGATCATTATGCACATCGAGGTGATAACTAGGCCATTTCACCAGCACCATTAGGCAGAGATACCACTCCCACAGTGTTCCAGAGGCCCTGCTGAAAGCTGTGGCCACTGAAGACACTGCAAGCATGGGACACTGTAGCACACTGCCTGAGGACAGCTTTATTTATGCTCTTGCCGAATGTACAAGCGGGCCTTGTTTTTCTGGGCCATGAGGGAGCATGCTGGCTCACATAGTGTCCATGATTCTACATTTAGAATGGTGTCTTCATTCACATTCTTTCCACGCAGCTCACGGCTCCTGGACTGGAAGAGAGTGGTCACTTTGCCTGGGCCAGGCCCCAGGAACGATGCCAGCTCCCCACTCTGCAGACCCTGAGTCCCTGGTGTAGAGCCCAGCTGCACTCTTGGCTAGGGGTGGTCCATGCCCATGTGCCCACTGTAACTGTGGGACCCATGGCTCGGGGAAGGCGGAGGCATTTTCCAGGGGAAATTGGATTCTGCAGTGGTCAGCTGGGCTGAGGTTAGCTAGATGGAGCCTTGAGCCAAGCTCGGAGGGTCTTGCTGGGACAACTGTGCTTTCTTGTTCCACCCCGACCCCTCCTGCTGACGTTATTGACAAAGCTGCCTGCCACTGCCCAGCCCCCTGAATGTCCCTTCCCCTGGTCACCCTCAAGATTTTCTTTTCTCCGTCAACAGCGTGAGACAAACACCACCAGCTCCAGCTGCACTGCTCACCGTTACTAGGATCCTAAACCAGACATGAGGTCATGCTCTCCACCTGTGAGGAATTAAAAGTAAGCTGGGGAAGAAGGAAAACTGAGGCGGGGAGGAAAGCCAGTTAGGAAGAGCAGGGGCCTCAGCTGAGTGTGGCAGCTCCTGTTCCTAACAGCCTGTGTGACCTCCTGCGTGGAATGGGATTCAGTAATGCAAGATTTCCTACATCTGGGACAAAATGATTTGAGTCAGACACAGATGACATAGGAACTGGCTATAAAACTGTTTCCATGTTGTAATAGGGGAAAAAATTAGGCACTGTTGTTTTTCAGGTTTTATTGTTTACCATAAAGCTCTGTTCAAAAAAAAATTGACTTAAATGTTCTTTAAAGGACAATAGTAAGCAAATGATCTTACAGGTGATTGAGACTGCAGCAAAAGTGGTGAAAGAAAATTAATAAGTGGCTAACGTTTGGGAAGCTTTGTTAAACATGAGCATATTTATGTTCATGAGCAACTGTGAATCTCAATCCCACAGAGCCTAGGCACCCCCTCGACTAGGGTAAACTGACCCTCAAGAGCTGAAGTGATTTGACTGGTGCCAAAATGCTAGGAAATAACGGAGCCCAGATTCCAAATCCTATGTACTATTTTTTAATATTGGTTCATGTCCCAAGTTGGCTAATGTTGGTTTTGACAAGCAGGGGAGGTGGGTGCCGTGGGTAACATTAAGGGGTTCACTCTGGGCCTCTCTGAGTCATCTCTGAGTGCTGAGCAGGGAGCAGGTGCAGAAAGGCAATAGACAAGCCTCGCAGGAGGAGAAGGTCTGTATCTTCCTGGGGGRTGGGGGGGCCTGACACCTCGGTCTGCAAGACAATGAGGAGCTCTTCTTTCTGACTTAATGCAAATAAAAATATATAGACCTGGGTCTCTGTGACCCTGGCCACCAGCAGGTTCAAGACTGGAGGTGGTGGCAGATCCCAGTTGGGGCTGGGACAGAGGTTGCTGCCCTTGAGGAGCCCAGAGGAGCAGGAGGGGCAGTCCACAAATAGATCCAAAGATACAGTGCGMTGCAGACTTCCAGGGGCTCTGAACACCACATGGAGTGGGACACCTGGTAGGGGCTGGTCGCCTCTGCTTTCTCAGGCCACAGGGAAGGGGAGCATGAAAAAGAATTTTTGGAAAAAAGAAATAAAAGAAGAAGAAGAATTTCTTGCATTAAATCCTGACAGTGAGTGGATCCTTACAGGGCAGTTTGGGGAGGGGAAGGAGGGTAACCTGGGAGACGGCACAGCACAAGCAAGCAAAAGCTTGGCAGATAGAAGTTTGGGGTTTGTAGGCAATTTGGGGGACAAGTGGCCCCAGGCCAAGACAGAAAGCATCCATGGAGAAGGCAGGCAGCAGTYCGTCTCAGGGTTGTAGGGTTAGCTGGGCTTAGGTTAGCTAGATGGAGCCTTGAGCCAATGGTCCTAGAGATGGAGAGGGGAGCCCTTGCTTGGCAGAAGGGATTTGTCCTCTGACACTCAGGCCTTACAAACAACTGGGCTTGCGGTGGCCAAGCTCCCCAAGTGGACACTTACCTTGCCTCTTCCCCGATTATTTCATATCGTTCTGCAACCCTCACCCTGAAACCCAGCCTGGCCTTCCTCCAGCCTGCAGCTGGGCAGATTATTTTGCTCCAAAAGCACGGCAGAGTACGGCTCCTTACTCGAGGAATGCAGGCTGTGGTCGTCCAGAGCCGATGATGAAACGGGCTATTTCTGCCCTGGGACATCAGCAGGCCTCCGGGCGCTGGCTCCAAGGCACACACTATCATGTTTTTAATGTTTCCCTAGACAAATGCTTTCTTTCCCACCTTGAGACATTTTTATTTGAATCTCAGTGCTGGAATAGCTTTAGAAAACATTGTGGATTGAAGTTGGAATAGTGGGGAGGGTCCAGCTCATCGGCAAGCAATTTCTCACTCCCCAAGTTATCTATTACCCGTGGCTGATCTGGATGTAAAAATAGCCGCTGAGGCTGTTTGTTTAATCTGACTGTTACTTGACACCACGCGGGTGTTGCAGTGTGGACCGTTCGCCTCTTCCCCACCAAGAACACCATTTGGTCTCTATTTAGGTAAGCTTCTCAGACTTCCAGTGTCTGGCCAACTTCTGGTCACTGATTTTCCTCAGGTGGGCAGGTTTGTGAGCCCTAGGAAGATTGGGTCTTCAGTCCACTGTCMTCCCATCTCTGGGCAGCCCAGCTAAAGAGGGAAGAAGAAGTTCAGGCTGCTGGGCAGAGCCCGACGGCTCTCCGTTCCTAGGGAGGCCTGAAGAGCAAGCAGCTGAGACACGCGGAGAAGGGAAGGTACAGTCCACGCTTGCCCGGCTCCACGGGTAGGCAGGGAGTCCCAGCTCGTGGCAGGAGGAGCATTTGCTCTGGGAGGGCCGGTGGTGTGCTGGATGTGCAGGGCAGTGTGGGAGGCAAGGGCATGCTGAGCGCAGGGGTTCCCGGCATGCTGGATCGTACAGAAGACGTGGTGTATATAAATGCATGATTCTGCCCTCCCGTGCCGGCTGTCGGGCACTCTGCCCCTTCATGGCTAAGGAAGCACATGCCTGTGGATGGGTCCCAGTCCTTGTGTTGTATGGCAGTTGGAGATGGAGGTGGTGGCTCCCTTGTCTCCCCTGGTGCTAGGCCAGGCAGGATCATACCTGCTATAACAAAGAATGACAGTGGTTTTTGGAATATTCTGGCCTGTGGACCCGGAAAGCACATGTATGCCCAACCCAAAGCCTGTCTTCACACACCGGGGCCCAACRTAATATCATCCCATTTTCTGTTTTCTTTGTTGGAGAATTTGTGTGTGAGAAGAACAGTTCAGGATATGTGTGAAAAGCCAGATAGCCTTAAGAAAAATTATTATTTAGGACTTTAAAATACAAAATTATTGGAATCCCAGGGAGTAGATTAAACAAATGTGCCTGTGCAATGAAGTCCAGATTTCCAGCATTTGAGAATGCTTTACAACAGTGGTTGGTGAACTCTGTATGCCCTCTGGGCTCGGTGCCTGGTTTTGTAAATAAAGTTTTATTGGCACACAGCCATGCTCCTTCATTTACATATTGTCTGGCTGCTTTTACACCATACCTGCAGAGACCATATGGTCTGCAAAAGCGATATCATTTTCTACATGGACTTTTACAAACAAAGTTTGCAGAATGCTGTTATATAAAAAAAAAAAGCTTCTTGAGATAAGTCAATTTATACACTCACACCTCCAGCCCCCAAATAAAGCAATAAGTTTTTGCAGCCAGTAAAGCCTGTGAAGAGGACCCTTCAGGACCAGTGGCTGCCTGGCTCTCCGACCTCCTACCCCTGGGGCCAGTATTTCAGGTCTGGTAGTTACAGGAAATATTCAGTCTACTCTAGTGGCCCTGGGAGGGTAAGCTGTGCAGTCACCAGACGCACAACGTGTCTGTGTGGCCCAGGCTGAGCAGGGCAGATTGTGCTTATCGGGTAGTTTATAAATAGCCACCTCCGGGTGACCCAAGTCCAACCAGCGTCTGCCCCTGGGTCCTTGGGTTGGAAACAATTGTGCCTGCTCTTGGTAACCAGAAGCTCGTTGGAATGAGAGCGAGCCTGCTGGGGAAGAAGTGGGGCTGGTAGAACGCTGTGGCTTCCTGGAAGCAAAGGGCTCCYGCCCCCTGGAAACCCAGGGAGCCAGAGCTAGGCGGGGGAGGCAGGGAGAGCGCGCCTTCCATCCTTGGAGGAAGAGTGCATCCGTTCTCCTGCCTCTTCCAGGCAGTGTCTTGGTGTTCCCTGTCCCTTTGCTTCTGACCCTAAAGAGACCCCGGAGGCCTTTCCCGAAGAGGGAAAGCCCCATGTTTTGAAATAACCTGTTCCTCCAGTCTGCCACTGTCCGTAAGGAGGACCTGCCCAAGGCACCGAGGCTGGGCTGCCTTCTTTGTTGGCTCTTGGGGTTTTGCTCTGTCTGTCTGTCTAGGGTTAATGGAGAGACGCAGAGGGCTCTGAGGGAAGGGTACCTGGTTAGAGGCACACAGTGCTCACATTCACCAACAGGGTCCATGGAGGCTGCTGGGTCTTGTTTGGATTTGCAGTTGAGGATTTAAAGCCAATTTCACCAAACCAACCAATCCACAGCTCTAGAGCTCGACCTTAAGTTTCATTTAGTTAGTTAGAAAACCCCCCAAAGCCTCTTAGTTTCTGCTTGGTTCCCAGGGGTTCTGTGACATGAGCTGATGGGAGTGGCCAGAGGCAGGAGGCCAAGGGGTCCAACAAGGATCCTAGATCAAGACCTAAAGTGGAGCACGTGGAGCATAAGCTGGTGCTGAGGTGTGGCCGCCCAGCGTGAGGCATGCTGTTGTGGAACACGGCTGGATGTGTGACCGGTGCAGAGTAAGGCACAGCTCCTGAAGTCGGGTGGAGGGGAGAGGGACATTCTCTGGGAACATGGCTCATGAGAGTGGGAAGAAGCTTTCCATTCTCTGCTTGGCCAACCCTCCAGGGTCCAGCCCAGACAGGACTCAAGCTCAGCTCAGGCACCCAAGCTCCAGCAGGGCTCCCAACTCCAAAAACCATAGAATTTCCTCAGTGGGGGTCCAGGGCTTCTTTGAGCCTCATTCTCTTCTTTCCCTGCAACACCCCTTCTCCATTAGGCTCAGCTGCTAGGGACAGCAAGGCAAGGCTGAGGAAAGGATTTCGCCTYGGCCATCTCCCATCTCCAAGTCTTCACCTGAAGCTGGAGGAAGGCAGTAGGTAGGAAGATGCTTAGATTTGCTTGAAACGCCTCTCGAGGGGTGTCWGAGGCCCACGTCCCTCTTTCTCACTCCTTACCATGTCTGAAGGCTAAGCCCTCTCTGCAAGGACCAGGTCACACTGGTGCTGCCCCTTGGCTCTGTCCTGGGCCCCTGGACCACAGGCAGCCCCACCAGTTTATCCCCTTATGTGACCCTGTCTGGCCCTCTGAGAGGCAGGTCAAGCCTGAAGACTGCAGAAGTCAAGGGAACAGAGTTCAGAGCGGAGTTAAACCCACCATAGCAGAGCCATGTCTTGCCCTCAGTTCCCCGCCCCCACCACGTCCATCATAGCAATCACTGACTGCATTCCTCCTTTGCACCTACACAGGCACTTAGCATGTCTAGTTTTATTCTTGAGGTTATTCAGCTTGATAGGCTTTGTGATACTCTTCACAGGGGCAGGCACTGGCTCAGAGAGATTAAGTAACCTGCTCAAAGAAGCACAGCTAGTGAGAGGCTGAGATTAGAATTGGAGATCTGAGTCCAGAGCCTGTGTCTTTCCCAACTGCCTTCCTAGACTAGGGCTCACATCAGCACCCAATGGGCATGCTGGAAAGGAAGCCATGCCATTCATCCAAGAGTCAGAATCTTCTTAGGAAAAGCCATGTGTGCCTAGGAAAACACACATGTGTCAAAGGAGCCTCAACCTATCTCTTGTACTTCAGAAGCTGCCCAGGGCAGAGCAAGATTCCATACAGTGTCTCCAATGCCTGTGCTGGCCATACAGGTTCACAGGACAAATAGATCTGAGTCACAGGCCAGCTCTGCCTCTTCTCAGCAAGATTCCCGAGCCTCAGCTTTCTCCTCTGCAAATTGCAAACAATACCAGCCCCCATCTCAGAGGCACCTATGAGCATTAAATGAACAAATGCATGAAAAGCACCAGCCACATGAGAGAAGTTCAAGAACTGCTTTCTGCCCCCAATTGTCCTTTGGCAATTTTTTTTTTCTCCTGCTTAAGCTCCAACTTGGATCTCCACCTTCTAGAGGTCAACCAGGAAAAATTCTGATGCTTCAGAATTTAGCTGATTCATGCTATTGCTCAGCTGGTGAGCAGCTGGAACCAGGAAGGACTGACCCCATATGTCCATGGTGACCACTGGACATTTGCACACAACTATCCATAATTTCCTTCCCTCTGGTACTAAAGAAGGTCATGGATCTTTGCACCTTCAGTACACGGGATGGATGACCTAGTCCTAAGTGATCATGATGTTCCCACCTATGTAGCAATGCTTCAGAGTACACAGCCATCAGCCGGGATACCCTACTCTACCCCCACCATCCACTCCCGAGGACAAGAAAAGGGTTAAAACTTCAGGGTCACATTTACAGAAGTTGAATCTTAAACCTGAAGAGCAAGTGCAGTCGTCTGCATTTTAACGGTGCATACAAGCTTTCCTGATGTTGGTTAGGCGACTCCCTAAGAAATTCAGACATGCATTTCAAGGGGAGCATCATTCTAGATGCACACATGGGGGTCGCAGAGCCATCAAGGAGGAAAAGTGTGTTCTAGGCAGTGAGGGGGATGAATGGCTCACCAAGGCAGAGGAACCAGACCCCAGAGGGCAAACCCAGGAGGAGCCTCCAAGGCAGGAAGCCCTCTAGGGCTCTAGTCGGTCCCAGTCCAGGGACTTTTCCTGGTTTCTCTCTTCCTTTCATGTGGGGAAAGGCACAGCTATCCCTGTGACTCTCATGACCCCCTTGGCCCTGGATTAACTGTGTCATATGATGATAACAACAATGATGTCTATTCAAGAGTTGCTAGGAGCTTGTCTACTCCACAGACACAAGGACCCAGACACCTCACCCTCATGACAACCCCATGAAGCAGGTGCTATTTTTAGTCCCACTTTGCAGATGAGGAAACTGAGGCATACACAGCTAGTTCAGCCAAGATCCAAGCCCAACAGGGTCTGGCTTCAATCCAGGTCCTTCCCACTAGGTTATACTGTCCCCATCTGGGGTGACAAATGATGAGAACTGGCATTTGGTGAGCAGTTACTATGTGCTTCATACACATGAGCTCCTTTGACACACGTGACAATCCTGTTGGCAAGTGTTATTACTGCCAAAGTAGATATGTGATTCTCCCTGCACTGTCTGCTTCAAAAACCCTAGTCGATTCAGGCTGCAGTAACAAAAATACCATCAACTGGCAGCTTTATTTCTCACAGTTCTAGAGACTGGGAAATCCAAGATCAAGTGGCCAACAGCCCCAATATCTCATACTGGCTTGTTCCTCTTAGATGGTGCTTTCTTGCTATGTCTTCCCTAGGTGGGAAGAAGGCAAGAGAGCTCTCTGGGGCCCTTTCATAAAGGAACTGATCTCGATCATGGGGACTCCACCCATATGACCTACTCACCCCTGTAAAAGGCTCTATCTCGTGACACTTTCATGCTGGAGAGATCAGGGTTCAACATATGAATTTGGCAGGGGACCACGACAGACCCCAGCAGTCTCTAATCGGGGAAGTTTCCATATATCAAGTCCTCACTCTGCGAAAGTCTCTCTGGGTTCTTGTCACTTTTTACCTGTGTCCTTCACAACTACCCAGGGCAATAAGTACCAATTACTGTGGATGAATGAGCAGAGGCTGGGAGAGTCCCTGTGAGAGGCTGCCCAGGGCTGAGAGGTAGGAAGCTGCTCTGATTCTAAGCCTCACACTCTTTCCACCACCACCCTCTGCCCTGTGCCCAGGCTGCCCCCCCCCCTGGATGCTTGTGCACAGACTGGGAGCTAACGCTCTCCCCTAGCTCCTAGGAACAAGCTGTCCCATGAGTCCTCTGTCCTTCTGCCCTGTGGATCCAGCAACCTGCTCTACCCTTCTAGAGCACAGTCCCTCAGAGAGGGAGGCATTTCTAACTCATCTCTGCACCTCATGTATACATGCTCTACCCTGAGTCAGGCACCCTCTACCAAGAGCAGACAGGGCACAAGCCACAGTGGACCACAACCACTGCACCAAGTGGCCCAAGCAGCTATGACCAGTTCAAGTTCCAGTGCTACAGAAGCTTTCTTCAGGTGTGACCTCAGGCCTTGCAGCAACTTGGCCCCTGGGACTTACTGGAAATGTGAATGCTCTGGCCCCACCGGGAGGCCCTAGCAAGGCCCAGAAGTTTAACAAGCCCCCGGGACACTCTGGGACATTCAGGCCCTGACCTGACCCCGGCCTTAAGAAAGGAAAGGGGACAAGTTTCTGTCATTCTCCAGCTCAAGAGAAAACTCTCCAAGGAGCTTGTTCGCATCAGGGGGGACTACTGTTTTAAGCTACTTACCTTTCAGTTTAAAATCTTAGGTAGGCAGGCCTGGGTAGCCATGTCTGAAAGTTTGTACCTGCTATGAAAAAATCCACAAAGAAGGCAGATGTCATTCACCTCTCATGGCCATGTCAGTAACAGCTCTGAGCCCCATCCACCTCTTCTTTTACCCCATCCAAACCCACCCTACTGTCACGATCACACAGGTTGAAGAAAAGACAGTCACCATCTACCCACAAGTCCTCTGCCATCTCCTTCCCAGCCTCCAGCAGGGAGGTGAGAAGCTCTGACCCTGTGTGGAAGGGTTAGAAATCCCCAGAGGTGCTCTGGGTAGGGTCCCCTTCTCCTCATCCCAGATATGCACAGCTTCTAGGGGCCAGAGCAGCTCTCCCATCCATGGGAGAGCCAGGTCCAAAGACACCTTCTCTAGCAAAGGCTCCTGGTGAAAAGAATAACTGTGGGAGATAGAAGAGGAGGCGCCAGGAGAGAAGCTGCCACCCACTCCCTGCCCTGTGTGAACAGAGCAAGCACCCACTGCCTCTCTCGACCTTCCCTGCAATCAGAGGGGCACAGCTGGGCAGCCCAGAGACCTGGGCCTGAATCCTGACTCTGCTGTTCTTTGCCTGTGTGATCCTGAGAGAGTTCTTCAACCTCTCTGATCCTCAATTTTTCCACCTAAAATTCCTTTGGCACCAGCCCCGCCTAACTTCCCACTGTTATACTATTGAGTGAGATCATGGATAACGGAGTGTGAGATGGGGATCAGGAGGTCAATAAGCAGGAGGATACGCCTAAGTTACTGATGCTCAATGACAGATCTTCCACCTCTGTTTCCCTCCTGTCACCCAGCTCTGGGAGCCGTTTCTCACTGGGGGAATCCAGTCCATGGACAGTGTAGAGAACTCTGCAGCATTCCTGACCTCCCATGATTCCAGGGGACCCTGCCTACAACCTTGTCTCTCTGCCACACCCGACACACTACAGAGCTACCTGCCAAGGGTCCCCTCCCCACACTGACTCCCTTCCCAGAAGCTAGAGAGAGGATGATTGATGATGGACAGCCCTGCTCCCACCAATCCAAATGCCTCTTCTTCCAAGAAGCCCTCAGGTGGGCTCCTCCCTAGACAGGGCTCTTCAAGATGGAGTCCATCAGGTACAATCGTCCTTACCTACTAGAGGGCTTTCAGGGAGTATCAAGCTGCCTGGTTGGCCATTCCACTAGACCCAAGGTGTCCAAAGCAAGGCTGAAGCTTAAATTGAGTGGCTTGTCCAAATTCTCTCTGATTGTGAAGCTTTGAACCAGAGATTCCTGTGTCCTAGTCAATAAGGGCACCACAGGGTTCAAGGTCTTACACCCTGTGCTATGGAGTCCCAGGGGTGTTGAGTGGGACGCAGAGAATAGAAGGATTTCTGTGGTCAGACATCTTAAAACAAGCTCCAAGGAGACCTGAGGGTAAGAACAGGGGCTACAGGGCATGTTTGGGTTTGGATGGGAGATGAACCCAAAGGTTCCTGTGTGGACGCATGTTCAGAAGTGGGACTCAGAGATGTGATGGGAGGGCTCTGGCCTCGTCAGTGAATTAATCCATTGACAGGTTCATAATTGGGCAGCATTATTGGGAGATGCGGGAGGAGGCAGGGTCTCCTTCCTTGGAGGAAGTGGGTCCTAGAAGCCTTGCCCTGGAAGGATGTAGCGTGTCGTTGGCCCCTTCCTGTTCCTCCCAACTCCCGTGAGCACAGCAGCTTTCTCCTGCCAGGCCCTTCCACCATAATGTTCTGCCCCACCACAGGGCTAAAGCCAAGGAGCCAATGACCATGGACAGAAACTGCAGAGATACCTAAGGAGGCACCATGGTAACGCTGGAAGTGGGAGGGAGCACCCAGACACCCTGCCTTGGCCATGACCAGCCCCCAGGCCATAAGCACTGCGAGGAGTGATGGCGAACACCACCCTGCCTCCAGAAGTGAGCAGAAACGAGAATGAGGGTGGCCTCCTAGCTCACAGGTTAGCCTCTGTGGGTGAGATGATACCCCAATTAAAAGCAAGCATAGCCAGAGCCTGCTACCATTCAGGTGTGCCCCAGAGCCCACTGCACCTCAAAAGAGCCACCACCCACACTTCATCTCTACCTCAGGGTGTCAGGTTGGCTTCAGAAAATTGGTCAGAGCTACAGACCAACACCTTTGCTCCAGAGATCTGGATGAAACATTGCTCCAATTCTCTCTGATTGTGAAGCTTGTCAGGGGCCAGGCACAGAAGCTACAAATGGGTGGGTGTTAGAAGACCTGAGCCAGATGATTTTTCTTTTCTCCTGTGACTTCTCATTTCTCTGGAGACTAGGTCTTTCCCTGGGTCTGTGAGGCCAGGAACCAGGCATCCTTGCACCCACGTTAGACCAGGCCTGGCCTTCCCTGTGCCCGACTCCCTGGCTTCTAACTTCAGACTCTGCCCAGGTCTTAGCAACATTCAGGAACTAATGGGCAGATGATCCTTTCAGACATACAGACTGACGACCCAGGCAGAATCAGCCCCCAGGGAGACTGAGCTCCACACGAAAGCTCTTCCCAATGGTAGCAGAAGATGGGCAGCCACGGTGCCATACTGTCACAGGCAGTGCCATGAGCCGCTTTCTTCATCTAAGATCCCTGGAGTGACCTGGACTCCAAACAGCTGCAGAGTTTAAAGAGCCCTGCACATGCAACATTGTTTGTGGAAGACTCAGACTCTTATCAGGGTGTGCTAACATTGGGGTCCCCAAGACCAACCACCTTATATTCCTGGGACTGGACAAAGCCAGCCTGGCAAAGGAGCCTCATGTTCGGTTTGAAAGCCCTTAGCTTTTGCACTCCAGCTCCTGCCTCAAAGGTTAGTCAAGTCAGGACAGCCAGGACAGCCAGGCCAGGTTGCAGGCTGATGTACCTCCCCTTGGGGGCCAAATACCAGATCAGTGAAGCAAAATGGCTAAGCCAGATATGCAATGATACAGCTGCAAACCAAAGCTGCATTTTACATGGCAATAGAAGACAATTTGCAATCAGAGGCCAATGTGCTTTAACAAATCAACACGAGGATTCATCCAGTCCCACAAGGAAAGGGCACATCCTGCACATGGCTAATCTCCAGCACCAGAACAAGGTGTGGGGGGGGGGCACATAGTAGGTGCTCAGTGAGTAGTTATTGAATAAATAAATACATGAAAGATCTTCAAGTTCAGTTTGTGAGGGCCCACATTTTCTTCCAGGAGAGTCTTAATGAACTAGAAATTTTTTTAAAAATTCATGTTTTAGTTTTAGGTTGGCACAATGTCTTTATTTTATATCTATGTGGTGCTGAGGATTGAATCCAGTGCCTCATACATGCTAGGCGAGCACTCTACCACTGAGCCACAACCCCAGCCCAAACTAGATATTTTTGATTTCCAAAATCAAGAGGGGTTTTAAGGACAGTGAAATCACCGTATCAGGTGAATAGCCAAAGCAGAATCATCATGGGGCCAGAGAGCAGGACCCCAAGGTCACGGTGAGGCATGACCCGGCTCTGGCACTGGAGGCCTCTGTCACTCACTTATCCTGTGCAAAGGAAAGGACAGACTGCTAAATGTCCTCAGTGCCCCTCTCTGTAAGATGGGGAAGGAGGCTTATTTTACCAAGTTTTACTGGTGAACCAAGGAGGGCCTGTGGACCCAAAGCCTACTGCTCCATTGACATCTACCTGTGTCTGCTCCCTTCTCCTGAAGGCCCCCAACTAAGGAAGCCAATTTTGCCATTTTGACACTCATTGCTGTGGACCTTTTGTGTCCCCCAAATTCATATATTGAGATTCTAATTTCCAACAGAATGGTATTAGGAGGCAGACCCTGTCGGGGGGTGATTAGGTTAGTGGGGTGAGTCCTTATGATGTCCTCACAGCAGGAAGAGCGAGATCAGCAGACAGCAGATCTGTTAGCGTCTTCATCTTGAACTCTGCAGCCTCCAGAACTTTGAGAAAGAAATGCTCATTGTTTAAGCCACCCCGTCTATGGTATTTCAGCTCAAGCCAACTAAGATACTCACCTCCTAAAATACAGAATGAGGACAAGGACATTCCCTTTGAAACAGGAGGGCTGTTGGCCCTTGAACACAGAGGTCAAGAGCTTGGCCCAGGACTGGCCACCAAGTCCAGAGGAAGGGGCTGGCGTGGTGTGGGATAATGGAGGCTGTGTGTGCGTTCATAGTTAGAATGAGGCTTCAGGCTGCACAGAGGAACCACCCCAATTCACTACACTGAACCCCTTCTTAAGGCATGCCCAAGTCCCTGCCAAAAAAAAAAAAAACAAACAAAAAAAAACCACCCAGAAAGAACAGGAAAAGAAATCAAAGGAATCAATTCCAATTTGTTAGGGCCTTCTGGGTGTGATAAAGCCAACCTCTGTCATTTCCACTGTCTTCCTGCTTCCCCTTTACTGAGAAGTGAAAACACCATTCAATTAATGTAATTAGATCTACCCAGAGATCTTGGGCTCAAAAACCACACTATAGGCAAGTGGTCAAAGCCAGCAGCCAAGCAAACCCCAATGGCTTCCTGTGGAAAGGCAGAGAAGGACGAAAAGCAGCAGGAAATGGCAGCTCAGAAGCATGGCCTGGGCCAGAGAGTCAGCCCTCCCAGCTCTGCAGGGTGCAGCCCTGAGGCCACAGAGCATCAGAGCYCTCCTAGGACCACTTGTCAATCAGTACTTCCACTCCAGGAGTTGCCACCAAAAGCGGAGCAGAGAAGACCCTTGGGAGGGGATATGACAATGAAATCAACACCCTCCTTTTGTCCACCAGGCCCTCCAATTCCTCATGCACTCCAGCCCAGAAGCGGAAAGCTGGTGGAGGGTGTCTCCCAGGAAACACCCTCTGAATCCTGAGCCCAGGGGCCAGAAGTTCAAGGTTTCCTCCTGGAGAAAGTGCAGGGTAGTCAAGTGGCAAACCCAAGCTGAGTTTCAGCCCTAATTCTTTTTCTTTACATGCTGTGTGACACAGAGCGATATTTGGTACCTCTCTGGGCTTCATTTCTCCACTAGAAAACGATGACCAGGCACACTCCACCCTCCTAAAAGAGCTTGTGAGAATCAAACAGGATAGTGAATGTCAACATGGGTCATGAGCCATCACTGTCACTGTGTCATCTCAGAATTGACACATCTTACTGGCTTCTACTGATGGTGATCCACTTTGGGTGCTAAGAGTTGATGAGGCCCTTGGGTTATCGGTTTTAAAACAAAAATAAACAGGAAGTCCAGGGGAATTTGAATTTCAGATGACTAATTTTTTATCCCACATGTTGCATGAGGTCTCCAGTTTTTAGTAAACTTGATACACTTTTTAAGAATGTATCATTTATCTGAAATTCACACTTCACTGAGTGTCTCGACTTTTTAACTTTCTCAATCTGGTGAGGACCCCAGGACCACAAAGCCCTGGGTCCGAGGCCCTGGGTCCCAAGCCCTGCTCTAACACTCACCAAAGACAGAAAATATTTTTGTCACCTCTCTGAGGCTCCATTGTCTCATCTCACAATGATAATGCACAGTCACATCAGGGATGGTGCCTGATCTGGACCCTCCAGGGTCACCCATCAGGGCTTGGTCTATGGGACCCTCACTCCTCAGTTGGAGGGCTCAAAGCAGTAGCTCTATGGGATGTATATGGAATGGGGCCTGGCACAGAGGGGCTGGCATGCAGGAGTCGTCTCCCATGGCCACTTCCTGCGCTCACAGCCTGGAATGCCTGAGGGTCTGGGAGGGACCAGCAGAAATTGGCCTGTGTGACATTCACTGGCCTGAGATGATAGGCGGCCGAGAGCCCCAAGGGAGACGTGGAGAACGAGGAGTGGCTGAGCTCTCAGCCCTTCCTCCATCTGTATGCCACACACTCCAGCAAACCTCTGTCATCATATCCTTGTGGCCAGAGAGAAGTGCTCTCAGCAACAGCAGCTGGACACTTTAACAAAGGACGACCACACAGCAGACACCATGTCAGTCAAAGATGGACGAGGCCAGAGCCCCCTCCAACGGTCTCAAAATCTAGTTGGAGTGATGGAGTCATAGCAGGAAAAAAGTAGAATTAAAAAGTAATTTAAAAAAGGACTCTAAGGAATAGGAGGAAGTGGTCAGTAGCAGAGCCAGGGACATTCCAGGCAGAAGGACTACCACTCAGAGGAGCCAGTCCAGACACATCCAGTGCGTCACAACTGGAAGTAGAGAGCATGGAGGTCCCCTCCAAGAAGCTCTTGAGGTCATGCATATGCATTTGTGAGGGATTGGGAGAGAGGGGAAATACCATATCTGCAAAAAAACCACCCACACTGGTCCATGACAGTACACCAGCGCCGTGCAGTATGGCGTTCCAAAAGAGCATCACATGAGAAAACATTTTGGACAAGTGATAACTAGGCAAAGGGTGCTCATCTTGAGAAAAGGCTGGTTTGTGGGGAGGTGGGCTCAGATTTGGCTTCTTTGACATACTCTGATTCACAAGGAGAAGACAAAACATGTTCATCAAGTGTGGCTCTCCCACCTCAAGACTCTGTCCTCAGTGCCCCCCHCCCCCCCCCGAGCGCATATTCACCACGAGTGTCACCAGTCCACCCATTTCTCCCAGGGATCCTGTTTCCCCTTGTGTCCTGTGAGGTTTTGTAAAGCCTGCTCGTCCTGATGCCAGCTTGCTCTATGTCCCGTGTCACAGCATGGGGGACTGGAAGTCTGTAGAAGAGAATGCTGTTGAGTTCGGCAGGGTTGGGTTTCACAGGGCAGAGGCAAACATCTCATCTGTTGATGCCCATCATTCACATCATGTATCATTTGATGAGCCTGTGCAATGGCGCTGTAAACAACCCCATTAACCCATGAAACTCCAAGTTGCCAATTCTACAAAGATTTCAATGAAAGTGATACAGTTGCCTTGCAATAGGTTACAAGTAATAATCTAGAGCTTATATGCTAACTAATAATATTAACAATTAAAATTAGTACATCATACCATGAATGACATACTACATTGAAGTTTTTATAGTGTTCTACATCTGGGATGAGGGACAAAATGGGGTGTATTTAATAGTAGTTACTAGACACTGGCCCTCAGAGCATCTCAAAACCACTTCCCAATTGGAACATGAAAAACAGGGAAATGGCAAAGTCATGAAATTGCTACTTCTCCCTGATATAAATGTTGATCAATATTGAAACTCAGTCCTAACTTAGTGGTGTGAATGGAGGTCTTCTACCCAGCCAGCCTGTGAACACTCTATAAGAATAATCGGGTTCACCCACTTCCATCTTTGACCACAGATAAATTTTATGTGTTTTAGGACTTGGAAGCAAAAAAAGTAATTAAAATTCATTTGGATTCAAAATCACTAATTTGGAATTTGTGATCACGCTACAATTACTAGATTATATTTGACTCAATAAAATAAATCCTGCTAAGTCAATCAATAGCATGAATCATATCATGGGGCAGAGATTTTCTCATGTATTTAAGAGATATCTCATGCTGTGCACATGAGCTAGACAGATGAGCACCCAGGCTAACAGGACAGATAAGTGTCAAATAACAAACCAATAAGTTAAGTAGCTGCAATTTTGTTAAGTGCTGCAAAGGAGATGGCTATAACCTATTTTAAAAGTACTGATGGGAGCACTTGAAATAGCCTGAGGAGTTGAAGGTAGCCTAGGCTTTGAAGTATATGTAGGAGTTAACTAGGTAACGGAAAAGAAGGAGGTAAACCAGGCAGAGAGAACAACATGTGCAAAGGTCCCAAGACAGGAAGTCATATAACATGTAGAAGAAGCTGGGAAAAGGCCAGGGTAGCTGGAAGGCAACCATGAAGGGGAGAAGAGTTCAAGATGGGGAGGAAAGGGAGATTCCTTCTTAGGAAGATTAATTTTCACTCTTGAAAACTGGGAAGGCATGGAGAGTTCTAAGCAAGAGCTTGGTAAGAGCAGATTTGATTTCTAGAAGCTACATCTGGGTGGATGAATATGGGCTCCTGCAGAAGTCCAAGGAAGACACAACAGCTGCTTGGGCCACATGGTGACCATGGAGATGGAGACCAGCATATTGGGGCCAAGAGACCCTTAAAGATGAAACTTGCAGAACTTGGAAATGGTTTGGGGAGGGAGAGGCTCAGGGAGGAGAGAAAGGGAGAAGTCGTAGGAGATTCTCAGATTTGTGAGATCTCCAGCGAGAGAACAGGCTGATGGGAGTATGAAGGCCTAGAAGACACCGGCAGAGAGCTGTCCACTGGGCAGTTGGAGATGTGGATGGCAAATGGCCTGGGTGCAAAATCAGTGTGTGGATGTGTCTGCTAAGACCAGCTGTGGATGAGATCACCCATGTCCACACTGCAGAGCAAGAAGAGAAGCCCGAGTGCTGGGAGCCAAGGAAACCCAACCATCAAGGAGAGGAAGACAAGAGGCCGACCAGCCGGACAGGGAAGGAGAAGTAAAAAGTCAAGGTCCCTCACAAGAAGACAGTGCCCAATAGTCTTGACTGCAATGGAGAAGTCATTCAGCAAACATGAGTCATTGGAAGACTCATCTGGGCCAAGCAGAGGGGCTGATGATGAGTGGTACCAAGCGGAGCAAGGAGGGTTAAGGAAATAATGAAGTTAAGAGTGGGACAGGAGTTGAGAAGAAAACTGCTTTTGAAAGCCATAGACACACGTAAGGAATTTATCACGCTTGTGATTAAGTATTTACTTTTGTTTCTGCGTGTTCATTGGATCAGATTTCAAGACCTTGTTTCTAACATGATTCAGCCCTATACAGCTTAACCTCAGTCACATCATCTGAAGATTCACCCTCCTACCTGCAAAGGGCTCTGTAAGCCACCATTTCACCAACTCAGGTTGGCTTCCTTCAAATAGCTCAAAATAGTGAGCAGGACAGGGAGAGCCCAAGCACAAAGCAATAGGTACGCTGAATGTCCACACTACAACTACCACGTCATTCCACTCCTGTGGAAATGTGCCCAAATGTGACAAAAATTGTCCAATTATCCTTCTTCTTCAGTGATATCTCAGTGTGCAAACGTGTCAATCTGAATTTTACAAATGGCCTTAAGATCCAAGGTCATGGTCTTTTTCACTAAAATTTCCATTATCTTGCTCCTTTGTTTCCTGTGCCTCCATTTTCCATCCAGGAAACACTAATCAGAATTAAGATAGCCAATTCAGAGCATTGCCACAAATATGGAGCTTCTGTGTTGATATGCTCAGCCTACAAAGACATGTAAGACCCTCGTCCAGGATTCAAGAAACTTTCTAGTTGAGGAGAAAAAGAAGCAATCATTGATTTCTAAAGCATATGGGTTCTGATATATGACCCACGACAATACAGCATGAGCTATGGGAAAGGTAGCCCCAGTATGATGTGGGGACAGGAAGGAGCCCATCCAAGTCAGTCTGGGGAGTCAGGATGGGGCCTCACCGTATGGTGGCAGAAACATAGCACCTCTGTAATTCTCTAAAGAAACATACTCCCCAAATTTGAGTTATTATGATTATTAATATTATTAATAAACTATCTTAGGCTAGATTAATATCCAGGAGCTACAGTCTGGGGAAGGTCTTGTGAAAGCCCCAGGGGTCTGCATTTAACATTTGCATAGTGAGTTTATTTTAATTAGTTTACACTTCATCCTGAGCACTCTGAAAATTCTCCTGGGCAGCTTTTTGGTTCTTTTAGCTGTCAAAATAGATACTCAAGCCTCCTGCCAACAATAAATCGAACAACGTGCTGCTGCTGGCTGAGTGGACTTGAGTTTGGCCACTCTACTTCCTATTTCCCATAAAAATCTAAGTTATTCATTCAGTGGGAAAAGGGCCTTTGCTCAGATTTTACTAGCAAAAAAAAAAAAAATCACAACTGGGTCAAATATATTAGAAATCCCAGAGGTTTAAAACCATTTCTGAAAATTTCTTGAGCCATCAACAAGTTCATCAATATTAGAAGAAATAAATTAAATTTGTGTTACGATTTTTGCAAAAAAAAAAAAAAGCCTATGTTTGGAATTTTGTTGAGTTCAAATATGGATTTAAAACAAACAAAGAAGAGATTGAAGGCCAACTGCCAGCTATATTACTGACATTTAAAGATAGCTTTCCCACCTAGCATGTTATTGGCCTCTGGTCAATTGGGTTCCACTAAAATTATTTTTCCTCCTCTTTCTAGATGGGCAGTGATGACACCAAATATAAGCTTTAAAAGAAGTTTTAAAACTACAGATCCTAAAACGCAGCAAGGCAGACACCCACAGCCCCCACTAATGTAGCAGGTATGTGTGTTCTGTGACTGTAAGAAATACCTAAGACAATCAACTTAAAAAGATGAAAAGTTTACCTTGGCTCACCATTTGGGATGTTTTAGTCTGTGGTCGGTCAGGCCCCATGGCTTTTGCTCTGTGGCAAAGCAGCACATTATGGTGGGAGCACATAGCAGAGGAGGATAATCATCTCATCCTCCTGTGCGAAAGGAGAAAGGAAGAGGAGGGGCCAGGATCCCAAAATCCTCTTTAAGGGCACACCCCCAATGACCTAACCTCTCATTAGCACCCCCCTCTTAAAGTTTCTACCACCTCCCAATAGTGTCCAGCCAAGGACTATGACTTAACACATGGGCCTTTGGAGAATATTTCAGATCCAAACCAAAGCAATACGGAACGAACCCAAAAGCCAGGAAAACACTTTCTGTGACACCAGAAACACTTTCTGTAGTTGGCCACTGTGCTGAAGGGTACCAATGTGTAGTGAGAGAATGAGGCCAACATCATGAGAGTCTCCTATGACTCCAGATACTCCAAATCAGAACTGGAAAAATTACCTGAAGACTCTGGGAGGGAAGGCATCTCTCTTATTGCTGAGGCAGAAGTGAGGTGGTTATTTTCTGAATGCTCTATCAGTGAACATCCTTCACCGCTCTTTGGAATGACAATGTAAATCCAAGGTCAGTTAGAGTTCTTTGACCACAGGCAAAGGGGGGACAAGGTGAGGGACCAGGCAGCTCCAGTGCATACTGAAAGCTCCCCTGCAGAGAAGAATGAATGCCCAAGCCCATTTCCATCCTTGCATGACTCCCAAAGAAACGGCACAGCACAGGGCCCTGCCCTGAGTATCACATCCACATGGGGAGCCCTGGCAGCTCCTTGACTTTCATACCCCAAGTCTAAACATAGTGGCAGGGAGAAGAAATGCCCCAAAAGATATCAAGTGTTTTTACACAGAAAGGGATAGAAGCTGAATGTTCAAAAAATATAAAGAGTTCCTGTAAATATAATAGTAAGGGGCATTTGATTAGCTAGGGACCATTTACTTAACTCTAAGATGCTAGGTTTATCTGCAACTATCTTATTTCCATCTTAATGTGGAAGTGTAGGAACACCAGTATTACTGAGTCCATTATTTATCATTACCAAGATCAAAGTCCCAGCATTCAGGATACCAGGAGACTCCCTGACTGTATTAACAGGACCTCAAGGAGCAGAAAACCTGATTTATGGTAGCAACCATTAATTTTCCTCTCAACCCTGATAACACAAACCTCAGAGTGTGTTTGTCACTCTGCAGTACTACTGGGGACCTGGGGCTACTCAACTGCCATCCTCAGCAAGTTGGACTTTGGTGGTCATGGGTTGTCCTTCAGGGTTGCAAAGTGAATGCCTCATGTTATGGTTGAATGGCACCCCCCAAAAAATTCATATGTTGAAGTTCCAACCTCCAATACTTCATATGGAAATAGAGCTATTACTGATATAATTAGATAGGATGAGGACATTGGGAAGGGTACTAAGGTACAAATCAAGTTTGGCTGATGTCCTCATAAAAAAGGGAAATTGGGACACAGAGACAAGCATGGAGGGAAGATAATGTTAACAGACACAGGAAGAGGACAGCATCTAAGCACCAACAAAGGAGGTCGGCCCTCAGAAGGAACCAAACCTGCTGACACCTCAGTTTTGGACCTCCATTTTCCAAAACTGAGAAACAATGTATTTCTATTTTTTTTTAAATATTTTTGTAGTTGTAGTTGGACACAATAACTTTATTTTATTTATTTATTTATATGTGGTGCTGAGGATCAAACTCAGGACCATGCACGTGCAAGGGAGCATTCTACCACCAAGCCATAACCTGTATTTCTATTTTTTAAGCATCAGAATATGATACTTTGTTAGGGCATCATAGCAAATACACAGTTTCAGGCTTCCTGTCTACATTCAAAGAAGGAAGAATGGGAACCAAAAGGACTTGTTCCTTTAATCAGAAAGAAAGGGACATTCCCCCAGATATCTGGCTGTTTCCATCCCTGTGGCCAGAACCACATACATACTCTAGCCATGCCAGCTGCATGGGAGTCTGTGCCATGAGGTTATATCTCATCATGATTTTAATTCGCATATCCCCAATGATTAATGATCTTGAGCACATTTTCCTATACCTATTGGCCACTTGTAGTTTGTTTGCTTGTTTGTTTGTTTTGAGAAATATCTATTCAGTTCATTTATCAATTTCTTGATCAGATCATTTGTTCTTTTTTATATTATTTTTACTATTGAGTTGAAAGATTTCTTTGTGTATTTTGGATATTAATCCTTTATCAGATGTATAGCTCATAAATATTTCCTCCCATTCCACAGCTTGCCTTTTTCATTTTGCTGCTTTCTTTGCTACACAAAAGTTTTATTTGATCCTACTTGTCCATTTTTGCATTCATTCCCTGGGATCTCTCAGTCATTTTTCTCTCTTAAGTCTTTCAAAGATGAGGCTCACCTGCATTATGGAGGATAATATGCTTTACCCAGAGTCTATTGACTTTAATGTTAATCACATCTAAAAAATACTGTCCTAGCAACATCTAGACTGGTTTTTAACAAAAACTATGTGCAATGGACTAGCCATGTTGACATATAAAATTAACCATCACAGAATGTAGTTCTTGTCCAAAGCTATTAAGCAGGATGTCCTGTTCATACCATGCACTTCTTTCTTCTGCAGAGAAAAATAATCCTCACTTTGTAATTGTAACTGGTCAACAAGAAGCTCTAATTTTGTGGGAAGTGGTCTGCACCTACTCCTTGCCAGAATCATCACCCAAAGGCACCCACCAGCTGGCAGAGACAATCTTCCTAGAGCCAACAGACGATGCAGGGGAACAAGAAGTGCACAGACGGGTTCAGCGACTCCTCCAGCATCGGTAGCGTGTTGGATGATGCAGACAGGGAGGTAAGCAACCTCACAGACCGGGCGTTCCGGAGCTTGTGCATCTCAGAGGATGCATCCTTCCATGATTCCAATCTGTCCCCAGATATCACCCATCAGGTGTTTGGGACTTTCCATCAGGGAACAGTGAGCCACACCCACAGAAAAAGTGGCATTTGGAGCCAGCTTCCGTCACAAGGTACAGAGCATGCAGGCTGGGCAGCCACCTTCCAACAGCTACCCAAGTATGTTCAAGGGGAGGAGAAGTACCCCAAAAGCAGCCCCCCACCAACACCATCCCAGAGGAGACTGGAGATGCCAGTTTCTGGCTTGAGGAGCAGCAACAAGCCTGTTTCCAAAGTATCATCGCTAATCAAGTCTTTCGACAGGACTGAGAGCCAACACTGTGATAGCAGACCTCCCACCAGCAAGCCTCCAGCTCTCAAAAATCCTTCCAAGTTTGCCCCTCTTCCAGACAGTGGTGTCAACTTCTGCTTTGATTCTGCTTTTCTGACTGTCAGGAGGGTTCCTGCTGAAGTCTCCAACGCCCATCAGAACAGCCTCCAGCCTGGAAGGAACCACGGAGAACAAGAGTCGCCTAAGAATCCTGAAATGGCCTGTCATGGCTCCGGCAGCTTCCTCCCCAAACCTGACAACTCAGCCAGCTCATTTGAGTCAAGATTCCCCTCTCCACCCCACAAGCCAGCCAAGGCTGAACCCGTAAGAGGCAAGGAGTGGGCTCACAAAGGGACTTTTCTGCACAGTGAAAACAGTGCTTTTGAGTCATGGAACGCCCATCAACCAAAGCTGCTCAAGAGAAAGGACATCGCAGAAACCATCCCAGAAAGCAAAGTCCCCAAACATTATGAGGAAACGCCCTTGTCARGAGAACCTTATACCCTTGAGCACAAAGTCTCTCCCTGCCCTGTTCGGGCCAGCTGCACTCAGGAAGAAAGCAGATTAGCAGCAGGGGCTCTGTCCACATCTGGACCCTGGGGCTGCAGAGATCCAGGACCCCCAGTATTCCCTGCAGAGGGAAAAGCTTCCAGCTCACAGCCTGACCCTCAGCTGAAGTCAACCCAGCCTCCATGGAGGAAACCAAAAACTGGCAAAGGAGGTAAAGAAAGTCTTCAAGACACTTTGGAGGAAAAGAAACAGACCAACAGGAGAGGCCCACCTCTGCATTCAAAGCACAAGCTCCAGGGGCAATTCCCAGAAGATGAGGCTCTGGGAATGCCTGGGGACCCTAATGAGCAGTACAGTCCTCCTTTTAATATCAGTAAGCTCCTGACCCCCATTATACCCACCAAGCATGTCCTGGAATCATCAGACACCCAGTCAGGGGAGATAAGCCCATCCCCCACAGGACAGCTGAACGGATACCAGGAGAAGGAGCCCAGTGAATGTCAGTCAAGAGACAGCTACAAATCCAAAGCACCCAGTCTGCTGTTTAACCTCAAGGATGTGCGGAAGCGTGTTAAGAGTACATACAGTCCCTCACCTCTTTTGAAAGGCTTCGATGAGAAAACCAGAATTAAAACTGATGGCAAGCAAGAACCTGTGAGCAATGGGATCATCCTCTCCAATGGACTTGAAGAAAGCCCTCCTAGTGAACTTTCTAAGGAGAGACCAGCCAATGTCCCTGGTGCATCACATAGCGGTACTCAGAAGGACCCTACCACAGACCCCAGTGAGTCCTCTGCAGACAATCACCTCACCCTCAGCTCACCTCCAACTATCACCAAAGCCCTCTGTGTCAATGGGGAGGCTGTAGAAAGGAGCAGCGATGGGAAGGAAGATGCCAACGGAGAGGCAGAGCTGTGTCCCACCAGGCCAGGCTGGAGTCCAGACTCCAGGGAACGCCGCCCCAGGAAGCACCTCTCCTTGAAACTTTGCAATAGGGAGCTTGAGGCCGGACAGGCTGCAGAGCAAACCAAGAGCCATCAGCTGGAGAACAGGCTCTCAAGATCCATCTCCCAAGAGACAGAGCCAGAGAGAGACCTAAGACTTCAGAACCCACTCCTGAACCAGAAATTCTCCCCAGGGCCCCTATCCCCCGAGGAGGAGGATGTGTTTTACAGCGACACCCAGTCGGATTTTATGCCAAGCCTCCAAAGTAAGGCCAAATTCAGCACCAGCTCTTCAGATCAATCCTTTGCCTCATTTGATGATCAACAGAAGTCGTGGTTTACTGAGAGCCAGCGGGAAGACAAGAAGAATGATGTGAGTGCAGGTGACAGTGAGAAGGAAGAGAAGGAAAAGGTGATGGGGAAAGATGAGCGACAGCACTGTGCTTTAGGAAACGGACACGTGTTCATGGAGGAGCACAGCCAGGGGGAAGCACTGCAGAGAGAAGAGGAAGGTCTGTGTGGAGGGAGACCCAGGAAGGCATCGATGGAAGAAGGAAATTTCAGAGGCTCTTGGATTGGGGGAAATAAGGACATGGCCCTTTCACATGCCAAAGACCCCACCCCGTCTCCATCTTCTGCTACAAACAAGCACAAACTGTTCACGATCAAAGACAACACCCTTAGGGCCACCCCTGTGATCAAACCTATCATTCTGCCTCTTCTGCGGACTGTGTCCTCAGAGGACTCACTTGGCAGTAGCCACAAAGAAGAAGAATTACCCAGGCAAGAGTGGAGTGAAGATGCTGCTGGTCTCTGTGCCCATGAAAGCCAGGAAATGCCCAGCACCCTGACATCCACTAATATGCAGGGCACTCACTTGAAGCACATGGCCTGTGAAGGCCTAGAAGACGATGGGCAGGTATTCAGTGCAGCCAGGATAGATAACTCCCAACCGGCCCTGAAGGGGAATTTCCCATCTCCATCACCCGTGGGAGAGGGGGTCAGGATGAGGCCACCCCCAGAAGCCGCACATGAAATCATGGCAAGCGATGGCAAGAGCAGGCCCACAGCCTCAGGGAGGCTGGTTGCTCCACCCGATATCCCCAGGATTGCTCTACCAGAGGACGATTTAGAAGACGAGCGCCCCCTGCAGTCACCTGGCACTTGTTGGGAAGAGCAGGAACAGAGACAAGGCTTCCAAAGTCACTTTTTGTCTGCCCCCAGAGCAGGGCCCCCTGGGAGAAGAACCGTCCCTGGTGAGACGGCAACCTCCCCCAATCCCAGCTCCCTGGGAGAGAGCAGCGCGTGCTCCCCGGCCACCAGCAGTGTTTGGGATGATGTTTCCCAGGCTCCTGAGGAACTGGGTCCTCCGGAGGAGCCTCCCCGGGCCAGCCCCTGGGCGAGCCCGGGTCCTGCCAGGCTGACTCGGCGGGAGGACCTGACGCACGGCGTCGTGTGGGAGGACAGCTCCGACCCCCAACTGGAGCCGGGGGCAGAAGACCTCCGGACCATCTCTCCTCGAGGTGCACTGCTGGACGTGGCCACCAGCTCAGCAGCCCCTCTTGAGAAACCAGAGCCACCGGCTCATCTGGAGAGGGCCGCCGGCAAGCCACCGGCAGTCCCCCCCAAAACGGAGAAGGCCCTGCGACGGGCCAAGAAACTAGCAAGCAAGAGGAGGAAGACCGACCTGGTGCAGGAGAAGCAGAGCGAGTTCTGGGAGGGAAAACCCTGCGCGGAGGACTCGCAGCGGACAGAGCAGCGGACAGAGCGAAGGCCGCTGTCACCTGGAGAGAGGTCCCGCGCCAGGTTCCCTGTGGTCCGCTCCTTGCCTCCTCCCGTGCATCGCYACTCAGTGTCCGGGGTCTCTGAGCCTGTGGGGAGGCGGCCTTGGGGGCCCCAGCCCCTCACGCCCCTGCCCGCTTACCCCGCCACCCAGAAGGTCCTTCAGGATCCCCAGTCTGGAGAATACTTCCTCTTTGACTTGCCGCTCCAGGTGAAAATCAAGACCTTCTACGACCCAGAGACTGGCAAGTATGTTAAGGTCTCCGTTCCATCCTCTGAGGGGACCTCCCCTGAGCCGCCCCTGCAGGATGCCCTGGCTGCTCCCTACCTGCTGTACCCTGGCTTCCGGCCCGTGCCAGTGACCGCCCTGATGCCTCTGCGCTGCTCCTCCCAGCTGTCTGCCCCCACCTTCCTCAGGCAAGGCCCCCGTGCCAGGCCCCAGAGCGCCCACGAGGCTGGACTACAACAGATCCCTGGGCCTCAGGGCGACTCCACTCAGCATGCTGCTGCCCAGCGCCCCCGGGGACCGCCCCGGAGCACAGAGGAGGAGGGCGCAGAAGCTCCAGGCCTGGGCATCATCTCCACTGACGACCTGGAAGACTTTGCCACTGAAGGCATTTCTTGAGAATTGCATCAGAGGGACCCCCACTCTCACCCCTCCTCCCAAAAAAACAAAAGAGCTTACATCCATTCTCCCAACAGGCAAACACACACACACACACACACACACACACACACACACACACACACTTTCACTTATAGCCCTTCTAGATCCCAAAAACCCCAAAGGAAGTAGAGATCCCAAGAACCCCATGTGAAATGCTCCCTTGTGGTACCTCTGAGAGAGGGTCACTGCTGGCATGACCAGGTCCCCTCTCCTCCACACACCTTTTCAGATTTTCCCACTCCTTTCCTCTTTTCCTGGTCATCCCTGCCCTTCTGTGGCCCTGCATCAGGGTGGCACAGGATGCTGTCCCCCTAACAGCTGCTGGGCTCCTGCACCACTCTCTCCTTCTCAAGGGTGGGCTTGCTTGGTGACCACCCCCCCMAAAAAAATGCTGATCCCTGCTGGGAGCAGGAAGCACCCCAGCAGACTGCCCACCGCCCACTGCACAAGGTCAGGCATGACACACAATGGCCAGGTTCCAGGTCACCCCAAGTGGAACAGGCTGAGGACTGTCCCAAGGCAACATTGCGGAAATGATTATTGGCATGGAATGGGTTTTCTTCATCCAAAGAAACTTGCCTCTGGAAGTTATTTTCTGATAAGGAAAAGGCTACTATTTAAAAAGTGAAATAAGTTTGCCAATGTGGTTCTGTCTCTGGTCTCCTTGTCTTTCTTCTGTGGATGGGTGGTCTGGGCTAACGGGTAAAGAGCCTGTACCCTCCAGGCCTTCCATGGAGTCTTCCATGGCAGCCATGGACCACACGAGATCCTTATGTTTGAAGAGAGCTGCTTCCAGTGTCTACTGTAGCCCCAGAAGCCACCTTATTTCTTCAACATCTGTCCATGCATTTTTGGGCCAAGCCTGCTACACTTCCCAATAGGTACCTAGTGAGTGTGGGGGACAGGGGTCTTCTAAGTCGTCCTCAGGTAGAAAATGGATCGTGGGGATGTGCTGTGGAACTTCCTTCAGTCTGTGGACCTGCCTTTGCCATTGCTGAATCTGGAGGTGATTTCATCCCACTAGAATGCCAAAGGAAACCAAGGCAAGTCCCAGCTGCCCTAATTTTGTGATCTGTCCCTGTGCCCTGCATTCCAAAGGAGACTGTATGTTTCCTAAGTCCCTGGTCTTTGGGGATTTGGAAGAAAGTATCTGAAAAGTATTTGAATCAACTTGAGGGAGCTGAGTGATAACCACCCTGCACTTGTGAGGTTTTGAGGGTCTTAGTGCAGGCACCCCCCAGCTCTGTAGGCAGTGTTGCTGGGGAACAAAGTAGGCGTGTCTTCCTGGACTTCTATGTGGAAGCTCTGCTAAAGCCTCTTAATTTTTGTTCTGGGAAAAGATAAGGGCTTACAAGCACCTCTCTCCTTGTTTAAAAACCCCAACAGCTGTCAGGATTGTGCTCCATAAGTCCTAGGGGACCATGCAAACTGCATCATCCTGTTTCTATTCACAGAGGTATCATTTCCAAATGAGGATGAGGATCAGATGCATGGATCAGAATCACTCAAATAGAGGGATTCTGAGCAATATTTTGGGTTGCAAGTGGGTTCGGGGTTTTATATCTGTTTTCCCAGACCATGTGGCCACGCCTGAATTTCATTATGAAAATGCTCCCCCACAGCCTGATACCTGTAAGTTTCACTACACCTGGTCAGGCATCCAGACAACCAGCTGGAAGTGCAGGTCACTGTCCCATAGATTTGGTTCCCATCAGTCATTTACCGAGATGCAAGCAACAAGAATGAAGTTGTTCGGATGCTACCAGCAAATCACCTTGAGAGTCTTCTCAACTGTGTTTTCATCTTACTAGGTTATATGTTGGGCTTCCAGTAAGCCAATGGCAAGGATCCAAAAATCCAAGTGGGAGCTGACCATATGCATATAATTGAAGAATCATTTGCATTTAGAAGAGGAACTCTAACCAGGGAGAACATGCATCATGGTGGCACCTACCTGGACTCCCAGCTCCTCAGGAGGCTGAGGCAGGAGGATCACAAGTTCAAAGCCAGCTGAGCAATTTAGTGAGAGCCTATCTCAAAATAAAATTAAAAGGGCTGGGGCTATAGTTCAGTAGTTAAGCACCTGCCTAGCATGTGTGAGGCCCTGGGTTCAATCCCCAGTACACAAAACAAAAACAAACAAACAAACAAAAAAAACAAGAGAACCTCTGTGGCAAAACCTGAATTCTCTATATGTAGAAAATATTTCAACTTGGCACCATAAAATTGGACATACTTGTTTGGGTGCATCTTCTGCATCATTCAGATATGAAGTCAAAGCTGAATAAAGAGAACTCTGGGCCATGTCACCAGAGCTTGTCACCGTGAAGTTTGGCATAGACTTCCTCAGTGTCACCTCTGCAGAGCAATCTGAGCAGAAGGCTCCTCCCTTCCACCTGGTGTCTGGCCGAGTCCTCCCTCACCTGCCCATTCCCAATCAAGATGCCCAATCCTATCTGGGCTATAGAATCGCCAAGGCACTTGTTGACAAAACAGTTCCAGGCCCCACTCCCAATTCACTCATCAGACTCTCCAGGTGTTGGGCAAAGGTCACTGTAGATACAAAAGCTCCCCGAGATTCTGGTGCATGCAGATTCATAAATGCCACTCCAGCACACAGTCCCAAACCTGGCTCCAACATACAAGCAAGGTGCTACCAGATCCAGAGGTCTGCCCATCTTGCCTGGGGGCAAGGAGAACTCAGAGGCACTAACGTCTCCATATCTTCGATGACCAAAACTGAAAGTGTCAGAAAGTTCAGTAAAGGGTTACTCCAATGGTTGGCTTCCAGCAGATTCCCACTCATGTTGCCATAGTAGAGGTGTCATAGCTTGTCTCCCTTGCAACTAAGGCCTATCGTGCCTCCCATGTCAGGAACGAGCCACTGTATGGAGCTTCCCATCTATCCTGACCTCCCCAGTAACCACACCTACACCGTTGGTCCAGTATGCTACTTTCCCACAAGGAGAGTGCCTCCCAATTGGAAACTTTTGACCATGTTCAACATCACTAGTCATTAGGAAAATGTAAACCCAAACCACAGAGAGATACCACCTCATACCCACTAGGGTGGCTACTATAAAAACAACAAGAAAAGATGGAAAATAACAAGTGTTGATGATGGTACAGAGGAACCGGAATCCTTGTGTGCTGTTGGTGGGAATGTAAGATGGTGTAACTCCTATGGAAAATAATTTGGTAATTCCTCACAAAATTAAACATAGAATTACCATGTGATTCAGCAATTCCATTTCTGGAGTATATACACTAAAAAAAAGGAAAGCAGACACTCAATTAGATGTTTGTCCATCCATGTTCACAGCATTATTCACAGTATCCAAAAGGTGGAAACAAGCCAAGCATCCATCATGGATGAACAGATACACAAAACAGGGCACATTCATACAACATAGTATCATTCAGCCTTAAAAAAAAAAAAAAGGAAATTCTGACGTATGTTACAATATGGATGAATCTTGAAGATATTATGTTCAATTAAATAAGCCACTCCCAAAAGGACAAATAATGTATGGTTGTACTTATTTAAGAGAAATATCTCAGTTATATTCATAGACAGAGAAAGTGGTTGCCAGGAGCTGGGGGGCCAGAGGAGATGGGGAGCTCTTTTTTAATAGGTACAGAGTTAAGTTGGAGGAAAATTTTAAAAGCCTGGGGATGGATGGTGACGAATGTATTTAATGTCATTTAATGGACATTTTAATATGGTTAAAACGGTAAGTTTTAGGTTATGTATATTTATCACAATCCTAAGCAAACAAAACATAACAAAAAGACTTCTACCTGGTGCAATACATTCCGTTTACCCACTGAAACATCCAAGAGCAGGCTAGAGCCTCAAGGAGATGCCCTCCCCACTCCTGGCTCTTCTGCTCCACCTTGTCCTGCAGAAGAAAGAGCCAGGGGAGTGAGGGGCAGGATTCAGGACTCTGAGCAAGAGAGTCTGCTTAGTGCTCCCCTGGTCACGGTGAGCAACTGCACTGACTGCACAGAGGGTGGTGGAGGGAGAAGCAGCTCCAGGGCCTGCCCCGAACCCTGGGCTTCCTCCCWTGCCCAGTTCAGTGACTACTCTGCCTCGTGGTCCAAGCTGCCTCCTGAGCTGCCTCCCCACTGCTCCAGTCTCTTGCCCCCAAATCAATCTCCCTTACAGACCATTCCCCCAGGGTAGCCCAGGGTCCTGACGAAAGCACCACCCTCATCCGGAAAGTTCCTGATCACCTCAGAAAAGAGCTGGGCTCCAGAGGGCAGAGTGCAAGGTGGCCATGTGCCGGATCTCTGCTTCCTGGCCTCACTGCCTGCCTGTCTCTGCCGCTCCCTGAGACCCCAAGCTTCTCTAGGCCGACCACACCTTTTGCACATGCTCCTCCTATGTCCACGCTGCTCTAATGTCTCCATCAGAAGATGGCAAAACACCACGCCACTCCACTGGTCCCCAGGAACACACAACCTTGAAGTCCCCAGCCACCATACTGGCAGTCCACCATCCTAGGTCACCAACTACAAAGAAGCTCACACCAGAACAGTGGAAAGAAGGCCTGGAGAGGCCCTGAGAGCATGTGGGGAGAAAGGGAGACATGCTCGGCCTCCTATCCAGCTCCAGAAATGGGCTGACAGGATCCTTCTCAGATTCCTTACCCACAAAACTCTAAGAGATAATAAAGTGATTGTCATTGTTTTAATCCATTAGGTTTTGGAGGGTTTCATTACCCAACACAGATGGCCAGACCCTCTCTCCCAAGCTCCCTTCCCTCTCCACCCTCACCCTCTCCCTGCCAGCCTTCTCCTGTCTACTTCCTGTGGGTCCTGAGCGCTCAACCTTTTCCTGTCTACTTCTGAGGGGGTTCTAACCRCACCCTTTTCTCATCTACTTCCTGTTGGTCCTAACCTTGTCTGATTCCTCTAGGTCCTAACTTTACAACCTTCTCCTGCCTATTTCCTATGGGTCCCAATCTTACCATCTCCTCTCACTCCCTCCTACGTATTAATGCCCCATTTTAGACACTGTGCCCTCCAGAAGACTACCTCTGATGCCCTACCTCCTGGCCCTACCTGACGCACTGAGTCTGYCAGCACTGAGTACCTCCACCATGGTTGCACATAGTGTAATTCCTTGCCTTATTATCCATTTGTTCCTCTTACCCACTCAATGGTCACTTTTGAAGAAAGGAATCATGCTGGTCCAAATTACTGCTGCATCCCCCAGTGGCTAAGAGTACCAGGTAGGCAGTGGGCCATCCGTAAATATCATTTGATTCAGTGGAATTCTTATTTTAAACTGTGAGGTTGAAGTCAATAAAAAGAATCTTTTGATACAGGAAGAATTGCTATTTTTATAATTTTTTGAATTTTCCCAACTGGTTGTGGGACACCATGTCGATGAGCCCCCATCCCAGCCCCAAAGCAGAGTGGTTCCTCTGCTCCCCTCACCCTCTGTAGTGGGCAGCTGAGCAGGCCACACCCCACAGGGACCCAAGGCCCAAGAACAGATGTCCCACAATGTAACCCCTAAGTAAGTCCTCACATTTCACTAATGTTCTTTGATGAGAGACTCCACACCTGCCAACAAAAGGAAGCCAAAAGGCTGGTCCAGTCCTCATAACAACGTCCAAAACCCACGTTAGAACCAAATTATTGTT